AGCCTATTAACCGTGGGCTTTATAACCGGCGACTACTGTAGTAGGAATCGACGGTTGAGCTGTTCCATGCGAATAGTCATGCATGCGCCTATGTAAGACTGACAGATTGGCAAACTATCAGGTAGAACCACCGTCATGGGGTAGGTTGGCAGTCATCGTACAGCACGGTCAACCTATTAAATCAGGACTGCATTAGTGCTAATGGTTCTGGCTGGTTCTGTGGTTTTTAAATTATTCAGATTTACAATGCCAGTATATTCCCTTTCTCAGCTTCCCTAGATGTTGAGTCTGGTTTTTCGCCTTACTTGAAGTGGCTGCACAATCCTATGGTTGACACGTCCTTTTTTTGCGTTTCCTCTGGTATAGAAGCAAACTTTTGAAAGTTTTGTTTTGGACATAAAATAGTTGGCTTAGAACTGACTAACCAATCGCATAGCTTTACTTCCGTAAAATTAATCGTCTGTCCCGTTGCTGTTCGCCGCAAAGACCTTAAACTGCACGCCGCGCCTCATACCCAGGAAGACGTGATTTGCCTGGCACGCAATCCGTTATACGCTTTTTTACTGTACTGAATCAAACTAAGGGTCTAGGTACTTTGATCCGGCTCTTTACTGATAGCCGACAGAGAAAGTTGTCCACGAAATATGTGCTAAATTTCATACAGGTTTAAGACCCCTCCGCAGGCCTACGAATAAAGAACTACATCAAATTAACTTTTTCCTTCTGTCATGAACGCTAGCAGAACGCTCTTTTGGTCTCCTCGAAGCCCTCTGACGTGAAAACTTGGCAGTTTCTGACATCAGTTCTGAGTCGCGCTCTATTGTGTCACTGCACCTCACTCTATTCCTGCTATTTTCGAAAAAAAACCATAAATTGCACCCCCTGACAGTTGGACTGTCGTATCCGACGAGTTCCATCAGCTGCTCCAGAGCAAGGTGATGCAGGGGCGCTGCGTGAGTTAGTTTTAAGTGACAGTGGACTTGCGCTGTATCTACCGCACTCTCTCTTCCCTAACCCACTTGTGCCAAGAGTCAGAGTCCAGACGACTGGAAGCTGAATAGGACGTAAGCGGCTCTGTAGCTTTACTTCCCTATGTGTGAAACTTGTTATGGATGCGCCCTGACAGTTGGACTTTCGTATCCGAAGAGTTCCATCAGCTCCACAGGAAGGGGGTGCAGGGGCGCTGCGTGAGTTAGTTTTAAGTGATTGTGGACTTGCGCTGTATCTACCGCACTCTCTTATCTAACCCACTTGAGTCAGAGTCCAGACGACCGGAAGCTGAATAGGGCGTGGGGTGGCTCGCGCAGCATGAACCTGCAGTTTCACTTGCCCCATATGTGACATTTGTTATGGATGTGCATCCAGAGCAACACCTACCATACCAGAAGTAGATGATGCAATCGCTGGACCAGGAAGTTTATCTGCCTGACCTTTCGGATCCTGTCGAGCACCTTTCATCGGAGGTAACCGCAGAATATGTTGCTACATGCGCGGACCTACTATACTTTCGTATGTCCCCCCCGGCGCATCTACCAGTTTAGGAGGCACAAGATAGTTAAATAACTGCTGATATACAAAACGATGACGTATATGGTCCATATTTTCGGAAAAGCATAGGACTTACTAATTGCATCTCATACCATCTCCAACACACATCCTACTTCAAGCTTATTTTCAGGGAGCTAATCTGTCCGTATTTCCTTTTTGCAGACGCCACATAATGGGGAAGGCGCCTGAACCTCCGCCCTCGTCGCATGAGGACAACGACCTCCTGGGCGAAACCTCTGAGGAATTGCAGCAGGCATTGCAATACCGCGATGATGTTATTACCGCTGGCGGCTTGGACAGCAAGGATAAGTGGGCGCCTGCTACTCTTGATGGTGCCAGCCTGCTTTTCAGCCGATACGCTCTCAGGAACACGCCACTGATCAGGCTCTGGGATTGCATATTTTTGGAGTTAGTTCCCTGTCCTCTCTTTTTAATTCCTTTCTATTGCACCGTCGGCTCGAACTTCCCTTCTAGCATCGCCGCGTCCCCTTCTAAGGACTCTGAGTCTACATTTATGTATGTCTGCAACAAAAATGCTCTAAGAAGCATCCCTGACTATAGTAGCCTCTAGTAAAACCGTTTGATTTAGCCATAGCCTCTTGGTTTCTGTAAGATTGTCCAGTTTGTGATCCTTAGGTGTTTGTAATGTTTAATGGGTTGGTTTTAATCGTACAAATTTACCGCCTTCGCTGATCTCGTTCCCTCTCGCCGTATCCATTCGGTTTATCAGCCTACCTTCGCTCGTCAGCGTCGCTTCTAAACTGAAATAATAGGTGTCTTGTCGCCAGACCTCACATCTTCTTTTGATTGGTCCACATTTTTTTCAATCTTTCCGATTATTATTCCTACAGGAAATGTGACGAAGGGCGGCTGGCCAACTACGTACGCTCTTTGCGGTCAATGACTGGAGGCATCGCCATACTTTCCGGTTCCGCCGCCTCCCTCCTCTGCATTCCGGGCATTTTCAACAGCTTCACCAAGTCAAATCAGCTCACAGTATGGCAAACTCCAGAAATGGCCAAGGTACTGTTCCATTTGGGAGTAATTGGCCTCAGAAATTATGTTGCAGGGTTTTTTGTCAGGGAGTCAGTCAGCCGATACAGTCGAAAATGCCAGTCTAGGGAAGTACTTGAGAAGAACTAGACGCGATCGATGGAGAAGAAACTTTCTTCTCGAACCCATCTTCAGTCACAGCATCGCCCGTGTCTGAAGATAGGGTCGACCTGGAATGCCCAACGTCAGGTGAATAAAGTTCACTCTGCAGCGATCGCGTCTACTTCTTCTCATGTCAGTCAGCCGCTTGACCAAGTAACGCTCCCGGCCCATCAACGAGCTGAGAGGGAGGGACGACCTCTTTGACAAGGGCCCAAGTTGAGTGTGCTGTCCAGCTTGTGCATAAGGCGTTTACGAGTTATAGTTCGGTATATAGTAGTCGCCGGCTTTTAAGCCCACCTCGGGCCCAGACCAAATTGGGCTTAA